GTCAACAGTAGTGAAGTTGGCCCAGGATTGGGCAGTGTTTCGTTCTACTGTGCATAAGGTCGCTATGAGTTGGTAACGACTTGATGGCACTTAACAGCAACCGCAACATACAGCCAATTGATCTTTGACAGAGGGCCATAGTACATTGAGTAGGCAAGATATCAACAGATGGTGCAAGAACAACTACAAATCGATATGCAAAAGACTGAAATAAGACCTTTACCTCATACCATATAATAAGACCTTTACCTCACGCCATATAACAAAAACCATTAAAGATTAAGTGTGGATTAAAGATTCAAATGTGAATCCCATTCCATCAATGAAAAAATAGGGACAAATTTAAGGGCAGTAATCCAGGGCACACACAGACTACCAAACATTGCAAAAATTATACAAACACAAGACAAAATAGATGATTGGGACATTCTAAAAACCAGAAACTTGCGTGCATCAGAGGATTTCACCAAAAGAGTAAAAAGGGTGTTTGGGTGGGCAATACACAAGAAGTGGGCAGGAGTGTAAGACCAAGGTAGATAGGGGAACACTGAGACAGGTTTACATGGGCTAAATAGGACAGAGATAAATAGTGATCCATGCTCAACCTTGGAACAACAGGGCTCTGGAATATAGGGATTGAAGTCTGAAGAGTGTAAATAATAGTAAGATTCTTGACTGTTTTAAGAATATTGGTTTCCCTTGCCTACTACTGTCATATAGACCCTTTAATGGGACAGAAAGGAATGTTGAGAAACATGATTACAGAAAGCTTGTAAGCCCATGTTTAGCCTGTAACTGACTGGAATACCTAAAAGTGGTTCTACAACTTCCCCAGTGAAACAGGCCTCTTGCAGAGAGCCTTTGCAGAGTATAGGACCTTAGGTGGAATCCTGAGCCCCATACAGAACCTTCTGAGATGGGACATTTCCACTAGAAAGGACAAGCAGACCATCCTGGAACATCTAGCGCAACAGAAGATAGATCTTCAAAGAAAGATCAGCAGGAAAAACCCAAAATTAAAATGGCAGTATGACTGGCTACTACAAGAATAAGCAAGGTGTTTGCCAGGAAGCCATCAAGGCAAGCAATCTAGTCCCTTCAGGACAAACCCCCTTCTAAGACTGAAACTCAAAGGGCACACATGAGCAGGCATGTAAGCTTGCTGGCGACCACATTGGTCTACTGGTGAATGGAAGAGGGGGAAAGAAAGGCAGCAATGAAGAAATGGGCTGAGTTCAATGATGTTCCATAGACTCCTGTTGACCTGAAGATGAGAAGAGAAGATGAAGGGCTGATTGATATCAAGTGAGGGGAGATGCACAAGAACACCCAAACTTGCAGAAAGTACCCATTTGACCTACCCTTGATGGCTTGATAATCAGAACTCAACTAGAGGAAGATGGAAGTAAAAAAACAATTTTTAATAAAGGAAACAAGTGTAAATTGCCACAATTTGATGAACTTCTCTTACACTCATGGATGTAGAAGCTCAATGCTATTCCCTCTGTATACAGGGTAGACAGGATGGGCAACTTAGACATTGGCTACGTAAAATGAGGCGGGTGATAAAGGTACAAAGTGACTTGGCTTACAAGTTTTCAAGAGGGTGTTTAGTTTAAGAGTGTGCGGGGGAAGATAAAGTCCCCGCTGAGTAGTTTTCATCTTGTCTAGATGTTCCATGACTAATTACGACTGTTACAACTGTAAAGATAGAAGTTTTGTAACAAAATGGGGGAGTAATTTACACCCTTGGAAACCTGTACAGGGTCGCTATGGGTCGGAACTGACTCGACGGCACTTTAACAACAACAGTTAATCTACAGTGCAGAAACAGAGGACCCAAGGACCACCAAGTAAGAAGAGCATGAGTGGAATGAGAGACCTTATCCAGAGAAGCTGGGACACCAGAGATGGAGTCTGAGATGGGGACATGAAGAGAGGGAGCAGCTAAGGACTCAAGATTCTTGGAAACAGAGGGACTGAATGTTAAAAAAAGATACTTGGAGGGGATTATAATCATTGTAATGAAACAAAGTATATGATTTGTTGAATGTAAAACTGATGATCTGTCCTGTAAACTTTCACTCAATTCACAGTAAAAGTTTTATTAAAAAAAAAATTTTTTTTCACCCAGAGCAGAGAGAGCTTTCCCAGAGAGCCAATGAACTTTTATTTTTAGCCTCCTCAACTGTGACAAAATAACTTTAAGTAAATTAAACCACCCACCTTGGTATTTCTGTTACACCATCACTAGATAACTAAGACATGAGGAGCTCTATCAACGCCTATGATAAGCAGAATTCTATGATGCCCTTTGATTTCACCCTCCTGGTGTAACTACTATGCTTACATGACATTAAAGACAACATAAATTTTGCAGAAGTAACATTCATAATTATGAGCAGAGGACCACAGAACCACCAATCAGGAAGAGCATGAGTGGAGCATGATATTCTATGCAGAAGAGTGGCGAGAGCAGAGATGGTGGCAGAAATAACGGCATGAAGAGATAGAGCAGCTGTGAACTCTAAGCCAAAGGACTGAAAAAGGCTGTGTGCCTGTAGGCAGGAGGCTGGCCTACAAAATATGTCCTTTGGGCATTTAAATGAATATGTACTTTTTGGTTTTCTATTTGTACATCAAATATTTTTGCTTTGTTGATTTGTGAAAAATAAAGTTGTAAACGGGGAGGTACAAGGAGAAGGCAGGCTAACTGTTGTTGCACGGAGGGGACTGTATTCATTTAAATGAAACAAAATTGATTGAAAGTAAAGCTGATCATCTTTCCTGTTTTGTTTTTTATTGTTAAAGAAAGGCTTGAAAACCCCTTGGATCACAGTAAAATGTCTGGTATCATGCTGGGAAGATGAGCACAACAGATTGGAAGGCAGTGAAAATGCACAGAGGTCACAACAATGGTGCAGTGTGAAGTACTTGATATATCTCGTCTAGCCATCATCTTTGCAACCCCCACCAATCTACTTTTCCTGACAGGTCTGGGTAAGAGAAGGTGGGGGAAGATGTTGATGGATTATATGATTCAGTTGTGAGTGACTGTCAACTGGATTAGTTGTGAAAACTTCAAATTCTATCATGGATATAAAATGAGCCACCTCAGAAGCCGAAGCGGGGATCTCACATCCTTTGGACCCCAAGATTCCTGATCTAGGAGCCAAAGCCGTAACACCAGAGGAGCGGCAGCAGAACACAGAGCCAGAAAATGAGAGCAAGTGGTGGACTTCCTGGCCCTTGGAGCAAGAAACACTGAGTGCCTTTGCTCAGTAGGCTCATATGTGGAGTAAGATGCCTCCAAGCACTTAATTGGGAGGTAGGTTTACTGACCCATGGAACCACAATTGAGTGCCTTCGGGATGACACTTATAGTGGAATGAAGTTGTCCTTTGGGCATTTATCAGCAGCCCTAAGAAAGCTTCGTAACATTGCTGGGTCCAATAGAGACCTGCCTGTTAGCACAGCTAAGGAGACGAGGTCCTGATTGGACAAACAGCATCCTAAGCATTTCTGACCTTGAATTGTAACCTACTAAACCTCTCTGGTAGCGTAATGGTTACGAATCGGTCTGCAAACCTCAGGGTCAGCAGTTCAAAACTACCAACTGTTCCACAGGAGAAAGATGAGGCTTTCTGCTCCCGTAAAGATTTGCAGCCTCGGAAACCCTGTACTGGGTCAGTATGAGTCAGAACCGACTCCACAGCACATAACAACAACAACAACAAATCTCTCTAATAAGTGCCACTACTCTGAGTATGGCGTTTGGATTCTGTGCAGCCACTGTAATGAATTACCAAACCCTGCTGAGTACACAGTGCTGGGGGAGGGAAGCTGAATGTTCTCTTTTATAAACAGCCACACCAATACTTGTGAAGGTGGCCAATGACTGGGCAACACTGTGTTCTGCTATATACGGGGTCACCAGGAGTCAGAGGCCAACTCAATGGCAACTAACAACAACAATCTGTAACAAGATCTGTAAAGGCTGCTGAACAGCACTAAGTTGGCATGGTCTGGCCAGGGGTCACAATCCACTCCACATTCAGCATCATTTTGCTTCTTGACCCAAAGTCAAAGTTGGAACAAGGTTCCTGCTTTCTCACCTGGTGTTCTGCAGTGAGGCGGGGTAGAGCCAGGGGGTGTCCGCGTGCCAGGGACTTCATGGCCATTGTGGTCCACGCACCAGCAGAAGCCTGTGTTCCTGTGACACTGAAGGGGCAGGAAGTTGCCATTCTCATCACATTGGGGGATGTGCAGTGGGGATCCAGGATAGGCCGGCTGGGCCTGGGCATAGCGCTGCTGCTGTTCACAGGGTTTCAATTCTGAGGTAGAGTCTTCAAGGACCAGGGCAGAAGTAGAGAGAGAGAGAAATAAAAAGCTTTGCAACTTACTTGTTTTCACAAGTCAACCTCAAAAAGTCTCCTGTGTTGATATTTTTGTTTCCCTTACAAATGGAAGGCAGCAAGACACAGGAAAAACAGCAATGCACTGGAATCTTGGAGTCCTGGGTTTTAATTTTATCTCTGCCACTATTTATTTAGTTTATCTCCAGCGTTCAGAGTTCACACTCTTAAGTCTTTAGTTGACTATTAGTAGTAGTAAAGCCACCACCTCTCCCTCACTCCCCAGGGTCCCATTGCTGTCTGGTTACAATGAAGAACCACCCATGCTGTCTATCCAAATATCCCAAGAGACTTTGGAGAAAACAAGTAAAACCCCTTTCCATTCCTGGAGGTCTGGGGTTTAAATCTGAACAGTTCCTTGTCAGTGTTGTTTCGCTGGGGCTCACTCTTGCACACAGCTCCTGCTTAGCTTCACCTCCACACTTGCCCTCAATCACCTAACTTGTACTGATGAAGGCAAAGGAAATGAGATGACGAATGAGTCATATACTAATAATGGGTCACATACTAATGCTAATCCCTAGAAAACTTCAGCAAACATTATCAATAAATCCAAGAGTCTTGGGTGGTATAGTTAAGCACTTGACTACTAATCAAAAGGTTAGCGGTTTGAGTTTGACCAGAGGACATCTGAGAAGAAAGCTCTGGTGATTTGCTTCTAAAAAATCAGTCTTAAAAGCCCTCTGGAACATAGCTCACCTCTACCACACAAGGTGGTAGACAAGGATAGGAATTACTCTCTATCAACTGCTGTTTCTTTAGTTTTATCAGCAAAGCAGGTAGCAGGAGCTATCTGGAAAATCTACCAACTAGGGCCTCAAACATGCATGAACCAATAGTGGGCTGAAGTGTTACAGAAAACTATTAAAGACCCCTGGAATCTTAGGTGCCTAATCTGGCCTTGCAAACCTTACCAGGTGTGCACTGAAATCCATCCCCGTGATACCCAGGTTGGCAACGACAGGAAAAGGAACCAGGAGTATTGTAGCAAGTCGCTGCAGGGTGACATCTGTTTTCCAAGCATTCGTCAACATCTGCAGAGGCCAAAAACAGGAACAGAGACAGAGGGAAGGAAAACCAGGATGAATTCATTGCACACTATTCTGTGTGTTGAAACTAAAACCTGTTGAAACTTAACTTACTAGCCATTGTCAGCGAGTTGATTTCAACTCATTAGTGACTACAGGACAAAGTAGACGGTTTTCAAGACTAATACTGTTGTACACAGAATCCCTCATCTTTCTCCCATGAGGTGATTGGTGGGTTTGAACTGCTACTCTTGTGTCAAGCAGCCCAACACTTTTCCGCCAGCCCACCAAGACTACTACGTGGTCTTAATGCACATGGATCAAGAGATAAGTTGTCAACCTCAGAGACCCTGCCTAAAATGGGCTCAGAGGATCTCTGGGCATGAGCAAGAAAATGCTGTCACCAAAAGGCAAGTGAAGAAGAAAACAGGTCGAGGCTCACGTGAGCGGACTCATGAGACAGAATGCTCAGTAGAAATCAAGGCCATGCTCATCTTTATGTAAGAACATATCCTGCAGTTTATTTCTACAACATGTTTTAGCTACAGTGAATTCCAGAAAGTTATTACCTTTAAACTAACTTTTAGACTTCTTGTTGTTAAGTGCCATCGAGTCAGTTCCAACTCATAGCAACCCTGTATAGGGTTTCCAAGAAGTGGCTCTTGAGTTTAAACTACCGACCTCATGATTAAACCTGACCTTGCGGTCCAGTGTTTATCCTACAGCACCACACCAGAACTCTGACTATAAATCATTAATTTCCTTTCAGTCATACAATATATATAAGTATAACTCATTTTTCCTGTCACTGTTGGTACTGTCTCCCTTTAGCACTGATTTATAGCTGCAAGACCTAGATGATACTCCACATACTTTGTCAATTAAGTGAAAGCTGCATTCAATCTTGCTTCATTAGCATCTTACTACTTAGAATCCCAACTAGCTAGAAATGTTCTTTACTTTCCACTTACAGAAAAAAAGTACAAGAAAAATATCATTGGGAATTTTGAAACAACACACAACCAATAAAATCTAAATTTACCAGGTATATCAACACAAACAATTCAGATTTCTAGACTATACACAGGACTCTGATAGCATGGTGGTTATGAG